CAAGTAATAAAATTTGCAAGGTCAGCAGAAATGGCTTACTCTTTTTTAATTCACAACTGTCAAGGGGTCTTTAACATGCACAGTTTGCAGCATACAGAGCCTCAGTTAATTGCCCCCTCCAAATAACGATACACTTTTTCCATGTCGGCCCCTTCCAACATGCATCACTGACAGGGGAAAACTGGTTGAAAAATTCAAAAGTATTATCTTGACCCATTCTTGGAATGAACTCTGGAACATATACCTAATATATTGGAATTGGTAAAACCATTTCAATTCTCCCTGCTCATTTACTACAAGCTTGCAGTATTTTACCAAGAAATGTAGTTCAATTTCTTTCTCTTCCAGGATTGTAATACAAGATGGAATGGTAAAAGTAAATTAAAACAGACAGTACCAGATACTGTGATGCAATGTTAGTCATGAGTGATGTAACAGTTATATTGATTGGTTTAGCTCTATTCTACATGATAGTTATTTTGACCAATCTACAGGTCAAATCATATTTACTGCTTGGTGCCAGTGATACTAACTTGGCAACCTGCCAGACGCCTGTAATTCTTATTTCCCTATAATACAGTAAAACTATATTTGTCAGATTTTTTCTACAATTTGTATTTCTTGTAATTTTCACAACATTTTGGAGACTATTATCTTTCAATAAAATTTAGAAAATTGTTTGCAACATGAACAATTAACAAGACATAGACTTGGAAGATCATTATTTAGGCAATAACATTTTTCATACTTTCTCAATCAACAATGAGGATCTAAATTAAGATGTTAAAAAGTCCAGTTGGGAATTTCTGAGATCAACAACCAGTAACTGATGATGTAATAAGAGAATCCATTAATCTTATTTATTTGAAATTAAAGAAGAGAATTGAAGCAGAAGACAATAGAAGTTAATAAAGGGCAGTGAATTCTAGGTCACGTCTCATCAATATTCTAACTTCAATATACACAACGACATCTTAATGAAATCATTTATATGGATAATAGAACATGGTGTGGAAAATGAGTTAATAAGATTACCAGTACTGTCAGATATAAATTCTACAGGCTTTTATTAATTCCTGGCTTATATAGAATGATATACCAGGCGTTATTACCCACTTATATAACTATATACTAATACTACAGGCATTATTAATTACTGACTTATATAGAATGATATACCAGGCATTACTGACTTATATAACTATATATATGTGTCTTTTGCATCAGTTATGGACAATTTATGACTGATTTATCCTTAGGCCTATAGTATAGCTCTGAAACATATTTACCAATTGTATAGGCAGTTAATACTGACTATATATAATGCTTGACTGTGGCACCAGCTACTAACAATATTTAAAGGGATTGTAAAGGGGTTTTCTAGTCTTTGTATGTGTATAGGGGACACTAAGCGCATCAATTTACACCATTCTGATTTCCTGTCCGATATCTGTGGTTCTGGCAATAAAAAAATCATGACGTGAATATGACATCATTGCCACAGGACATTTGAGTTTCGTGAAAGTAATGTCATATTTGGTCATTATTTCTGAGTATTTCAAAAGCAACCTCTAACATCTCTAATACCAAAGCCTTAATTCCTTTAATGATAAATATTAGACTGACTTATATAACTATGATCATATTATCAGAATCTATTTGTAAAAAATAGGTCAGGACAGAGTAATCTAATTTATATTGTATTTGACACATCATGAAATATTCCAATGATTGGAACGAGAAAATACTTTTAATAAAGGTTGTCAGGTGATTAAGTTGATTGTCTGATGGAACGTGAACAGGGATTACAATATTCTGACACATTTATATTAATTCACAAAGAAAGAGGCGACATATTTCAAATCACAATCTTTAATTCAAAGTCCAAAGTCTGATAAAAGCAATGAGGTTGACATGAAATGCCATTGATTAAAAAAATTGTCAAGCAAGACATGTTCTGATTGGTTAAAAATAAAGTCACTTGAACACGATATTGCCAGAAAACTTATTAGATTAAAAGCAATGAGATAGGCATGACTGTTCTGATTGGTTAAAAATAAAGTCACTTGAACACGATTTTGCTGGAAAACTTGAGATAGGCATGAAATGCTATTGATTAAAAAAAGGGTCAAGCAAGACATGTTCTGATTGGTTAAAAATAAAGTCACTTGAACACGATATTGCCAGAAAACTTATTAGATTAAAAGCAATGAGATAGGCATGAAATGTCATTGATTAAGGAACTGGTCAAACAGGACATGTTCTGATTGGTTAAAAATTACACCATTTTAACACAACTTTGGTAGAAAACTTGTTAGATTACAATGGAGACAAAGAATATCAGAAATAACGATAATCAGATTGGATATGTGGACTTCATGACTAAACTCCACAAATTTGTGTTCAAAGCCTCACTATTAAGACCACAATACCAACTAAAGCGACAAAAACATTTCAGGACTACATTGCACACCTCTATAAGAGGTACTGAGAGTAGAGTAGATGAAATGATATGAAGTACTAGAGGGTAGTAGTAGAAGACCATATGTTTTAACACTTACTGTCTACCTAGGTAGTACCTACAATACTGATACCAATCTTACTAGTTGTTGTTTATATAGTACTATTTATTTATTCATTTATTACTACTCCTCTCGGCACATCTTACAATATCTACTATTTATTTCTCTATCATAGATTTCTCTAGCCAACTGTTTTACAGTATCTTACGTGCTTTGAAAAAATATTCTGATTTTCACGGCACATCTCCAGATTTTTTCCTGACCTGTACACATGTATGGTTATACTTCGTTTTCAGACTAAGGAAGGAATATTACTGTTCCAAAAATTCTTCCAGCAATCAAGGACCTTTCAGAATAACTGACCCCAGACGGGTAATAAGCATGGCGCAAGTAATCTTCATAAAGGTCAAGGTATTAAAAGCCTTGTCTTAAACCTTGACTACAATAGCCACTGTTCTTTTATCATAAAATGCACTGATTCAGCCAGTCAATACAGCCAATCAGAGTCCTTGACTGCAAGTCTGCAAACAATATGGTTTATAATTAACAGATGTTCTATCGATTGGCTGTATTCATTAGCGTACCATCCAATCAAATCATTACATTTACAAAACTAGTATGAAATTGCTGCGTGACTGATCACTGTTTTCAACCATTGTTAATGTAGTGATATCAGATGAAATCAAGAACTATATTCCCCTCATCTTTTCATTTTTCATTTTTTCACCTTCATGTGACCCTTTCTGATTGAGAATTCAGCGTTCGTATATTCTGTATCTGTGTTTTCCACCTCAACTAATTGTCTCTGTAGTGTACAGGAAATCTAATTTGAAAGATGGTCTGATATAATTGAAAGAAAACAGTAATGTTACCTTACTTAATCTATCCTACAATCTAATCAGATGTGTTCGTGTGTGTCTAACATGCAAACGCTAATTATAAACTAGAACTATCTCTAATCACAAGAGAAAATGTTAACGTTTACTTTTCATGAAAAATAACAAATTTAAACCATTTTAAAGATGGGAGTCAAGGAGGTATAGTGTCCGATGTGGAATTATAGATACAGTAGAAAATAGTACAAGCATTCTGCCTCCCGAGTCCATTTTTTTGTTTGATATTTTCATTTGTTAGTTTCAATGACTAAGTGTTCCAGGTTGCTTTTATTAATTTTATTCTATTGAAATTGTTAGACTGCTGCTCTTAACCTATTTCTAGTTCCCATCCTGCAACTGAGAACGAAAAGGTTAAGTTCTTTGGCCACTAATGGACTACATTGAAATCTATTATCATAATGCTACAGTATACAGTTAGTATACAGGATGCTAGTTTTATAGTCATTTTCCTATAAAGGTCAGTCAGATGACATTACTGGTGACAGAGTCATACTTCCGATACTGGGGATACAAATAGAGGGGGTGGGGGGTGCAAATTAACTAGTTGGGGGTACAATTGTTGGGGCTAAATTCAAAATGTGGCAACTCTGTAGAGGCATCATGGTCTCAAGCCTCTCATGGAGTGACTCTGAGAATCAAATTTTTAAATAATATTGCCTCATTTGTCAGGATTGACACCAAAAACCATATCAACTTCAAAGAAAAAGGTTACAGTCAGTTTCAGAGTAAATGCTTTAAGTACTGATATTTAAATGACAAAAACATTGGTCTCTTGAGAAAGCATCAACAAATACTGGTATTTTAGAAATTTAGTATTCAATGTATAGAAGAATTTTAATGTCCCATGAGAATATGTTGACAATGGAAATAGTTGTACTAGTTTATATGATATCTATTATTATTTTAGATCAGTGAACTGTAATAAAAATATGTAAAATTTCAAAAAGCTCAAACATTTGATATCATTCTCTGTGGAAATATAGTAAACTTTATATTACATTTGTTCATAAAAACATCATATCAGAACTACAAAGGAAACACTTGGTTTAACAAAACACAAACAATATATTGGAATATAACACACTTCTTTAATAAGGTTAAGAAGTGTGTTATATTCCATAATATTGTCTTGTGTGTTGTTATATGTGCTCCTTGCTTCTATTGGTCGTTCAAATCTTAAACACTTGGTTGTAAATATATTATTTTAATATTTCCGTTCTATTATATTAGATTTTGATATGAAGTTCTGTTTATTGATTACGGTCAAACTAAAATCAAATGTTGGATATAGTTGTGAGTAATTGCGTAGTAAATTCTTATGTTTAATTTCACTTGGTGTTTTTTCTGCTGTAGATTTAGGATATAGTATATTATGAAGGATGAATATTGAGTCTTTACACAGACATGCAGAATGAATCAACTATGACAGATTGCAGGATTTGCCAGAAACCCCTTTCTATATCAACTTTGAAAAAATAAGTGTGAATACAACAATAACCAAAAACCTGAAATTAAGCTAAAGAAACAAAGGATATATGCTCTTTCAAAACAAATTAGACTTGATAATCAAGACAAAACTTACATAATTTTTGGCAAGGTCTGGATGATCTTTCTCGATACCATCGTCTAAGATAGTCACAACTACTCCTCTACCTGTATACCCCATCCTCCAGGCATGGGATACATTCATATCTAAACCACTACCACGATTCTACAATACAAAATATTACAATCATTAATAAATAATTAATAAATGAAATCAAAGTTGGAGTTTTACGTCCTACTTTGTTGCACAATGTTGGCTAATGAAGACGGGCAACGCCATGCATGGTGCAATGAGAGAAATTTGGCAGGACACCCCCATTAGCCTAACATTTTTCGATTTCATACTATATATATTTCCAGGTGACTAGGGATCTTTTAAGAGATCAACAAGCTTATATAACACTTGTATCTTATTCACTCTATATATTATGAAACATACTGGCAATGATAAAATGATATAGAACTGCTGTAATAATAATCACAATTTAAAATAAACAGTAGGCCTAAAATATTTAGAAATTACAGTATTTGATACCTGTCAGTTTAAACTACCAAATGTGAGAAGGTCAAGCCCTTCACCACAGATCTGTTTATTATTCATAATTATGACAGCTGCATTTAAAAAGGTCAAGGTTATTTTGGTTGCGGAATGACCTGTTATTTGTACCATCATTGATGTGGTTGTATTAAACCAGTTTCCCATACTATCATGGTACTAGTTAGAATTTAAATATATTAAAAGTTAAAGAAGCACTAGATATATAGATATACTATTTCTAACATTTATTAACTCAACGTTTCACATGCTCATACAAGCAGTGTTATCAAATATTATAAAGAATCAATAGATATAGATATACTATTTCTAACATTTATTAACTCAACGTTTCACATGCTCATACAGGCAGTGTTATCAAATATTATAAAGAATCAATAGATATAGATATACTATTTCTAACATTTATTAACTCAACGTTTCACATGCTCATACAGGCAGTGTTATCAAGAGAAGATATATAGATATACTATTTCTAACATTTATTAACTCAACGTTTCACATGCTCATACAGGCAGTGTTATCAAATATTATAAAGAATCAATAGATATAGATATACTATTTCTAACATTTATTAACTCAACATTTCACATGCTCATACAGGCAGTGTTATCAAATATTATAAAGAATCAATAGATATAGATATACTATTTCTAACATTTATTAACTCAACATTTCACATGCTCATACAGGCAGTGTTATCAAGAGAAATGAAAAATATAACAAGTCTAACAATATGTATAGAAAAATAATTGGGTAACAATATGTCTTATAAACAATATTGAAAGTTGTCGAATAAATAATGATTATTTAAGATTTGATCAACAGGGTAAGCCATAATCTCTGTGTAGTCACAATATTGGCCTCTTGTGTTTTATTATGGTTTTAAAGTGTTTTCAGCATTATTCTGTTCTCTGTTAATGACCTCAAGGTTTTTCCCTTACGATATATTCTAATATTTACCCCTCTTCTTCAAGTGTAAATTGTTGAAACATTATGTACTTTATTAAAGTGTGTTATGCAATAGCCTAATATATAACTTTGTGTCTTTTATTATAATAATCATTAAAACTACAGTTGCCGTCCGACAAAATGGTAAAGTACAGTCCAAAGTTAAACGGCACCGCAATTTCAGACTCAAATAACCCCAAGAGTGTTATGTTATTTGTATTAAAAATTGGAGCGTTTAGAAGCCCAGCATGACAGGAAATGGAATTAAAAGAATGGTTTTGATATATTTTATCTCTCACCTATATATTTTATTTTATCAGTTAACTTACCATTACCTGATGACTGTATATTACTATAATCAACTTATCTTTAATATTTCCCTTACACCTTTATTTCTTTAACAAATATTCCTGATATTCAACTCTTGGAGATTTTACTAATATGGCTTTGAATAACTGCTGACTTGGTATAATTGAATCATGCTTATCTTTAGCCCAGCAAATCTGGCCCCGCCCAGTTCTATCAAAGTGACATACGGTGTGGATATCAGCATTTTTAGAGCCGGGCATAAAATGTTACTATTTATGTGAGTTGCTCCAAACCATTATTTGATCACTAGTTTTTGAGAATTTTCACCATGACAAGTGTCAAACTTGGCCAAACTTTTGGTTTCTATACAAAGTTCAACCATTAATGAGTCCATCAAGACATTACTGGATAGTTTACAATACTTGTGTCCCACACACAGTACCACACAATACATTCAAAGGGTAGGTTTTTCTCTTCTTCATACAACACCATAAGTTAGGCCTTCCCCTTGACTGTATTGTGCTACCTTGTGGGACAAAGGGGCATTGTAGAATATCCATTAATATCTTGATTACATTACAATGAAGTACGGTAACAATCTTCACTGAAAATAATCACAGGTGGTTCACAAATGCAACATTAACAGTTGCTCACAGACTGGTGAATGTTTAGGGCGTCTTCAACAAATATTTGGTCCTAAATTTGTTGAAAAAATATGCAGGTAAACATGGAGGAAACAATTAGTTAAAGAATAGTTTAGATTATATAAGAATGTAGGGTAAGAGTTAATTTATAACATATCGTCTTGTATATTGACAACAATCAGAATGGTGTGACTATTATTATAGACAAAACTTGTATAAAGGTAGATAAATTAGCGTTTCTAGGAAACATAAAGTGAACGGGCCAAGCAGGGAGAACATTTTTTTTTAGGGGGGGCTAAAGGTAATTCTTTCACTTTGTAAAATGATAAAAAATTTGAAAGTGGGATGTTGGGGGGCCAAAACCTGTAGATCAATGGGTTTAGATAAAGTCTTAGGGTGAGGTTTTAGAGTAGGAAGAGGACACTGGGCCGACTTTTGGAAGCTCTGGGTTAGACTTAACATCAGCAGCAAGCACATGCCTTCTATCTTGTTCACATGATCGTAAAAAGCCTGCAACAGGGTTAGACTAAACACCAGCATGTACTAAATACCAGGTAACTCCTTCTGCTTATATAATCGATATGTAGCTAATTACATGATTGTTCTCTTCACAACATGAACCATATGCTTTTTAAATTGTTTACATGAGCAAATAGTGCCTGCTACTGGGTTAGACTAAACACCAACATGTACTACATATGCCTTAGTTTAACTTACATAATAGGTAGGTCTAAAAGTGGTTATCAATAAACCAAAGTAATATGTGACCTCTCCAAAAAGAATACCAAATTGGCAAACTCAGTTTGAAGATTGCATCAATATTCAGGAAGAGTGAGCTGTGTTTTTTGTTATGTATTTCACTCACTTAATAGTTCAGTAGCTTGGATAGTCTCTTTCTATCTACAAAATGTCCTTGAAGAAGAAGCCTATCCCAAAACATAACTTAGATCCTTCAGCAAGAACTATCCATAATAGTTGTTATTGCTGAATGTTCTACCTACTTCTAAATGTCATTTAAAGATTATAACTTACATCCTTTGTAAATCTTCATCATCAAATCTAAAAAGATTTGTTGATCAACCCACAAAATATCCTTGAAGAAGAAGCCTATCCCAAAACATAACTTAGATACTTTGTAATCCTTCACCATCAAATCTAAAAAGATTTGTTGATCCACCCACAAATGTCCTTGAAGAAGGATCCAATGACATTGATAATTACTCAGATGAAGGATAACAATTATTGTTTTGTACATAATAAAAGAATTAACCTTATTTTTTATGTCAGACAAGTCTAGATATCGCCTGTCAAACAGTTGTCAACTCTTAGTTACAATCTGATTAAATTACAGTATTATTCAATATGGCTTCAGACAACTTCCTATTCCAGACAATGACCTTTTTGACAAGTCAAGTTATAGGTTAACTTCTGATACTATTGCCAGTGCTTCTGAGAGTCATATAAATATCTTCTTATTGAAGGGGTTAACAATTTGCTTACTTTGAAAACATCAGTACTCCCTCTAATGCTGGGTTGGAACACTGTCTTTTTGTGGCAGTGGAATAGTTCAGTAGTTATAGCGATGGACGATGTTAAGCAACCTCCTCAATGTTACAAAAATGCTGCTTCTAAGATTAGGCCTGATGTCGACTTTCAAACCTAGGCTTAAAAGTTCTTAAAAGAACCACAAAATAAGTCAACTGTTTAACTTAGAAGGTTTACTATTGAGATATCCCTCAGATTGTTACCATACACAGTTATTCTTAAGAACATTACCTTTTTTACTAAAATTACCATCTGGATTTCCATAGTAATGAAAACATAAACAGATATTCAGCAACTCATTTGAGTACTTAAGTTGAGAAATCCAGTTGTCTTAACCTAGTTCTACTATTCTCATAGTTTAATAGTCTAACAATTGTTTTTGTTGGTATTTTATTCTACTAGTATCTAATTACTAACACTGGGTATATTTCACCTGGTCAGCTGATACTCTCACTGGGCTGTAGATTAGTTTTAAAGGTATTGTTTGGTTTGATGAAAATAGAAGCCATAAATGGACCTGACACACATAAGAAGTTAAAAAAAACCCTCCCTTTAAGTTTTGAAGGAGGTAGTAATTGAGAATGAGGTACGAAGCCACCTAAGCCCCTTAATCCAAATAAAATGGTGGAGACAGCCTCTACATTATGTACGACCCTACCCTTCAGTATTTGACAAAATACCCTCAGACACTTTACGTCTGTCTTAGGTTTTAATGGTACAGTGAAATACCAAGTCTTTGTCTCTGCTCTGCACTGTACTGTATCCAATAAACACATATATTTTCTCTTCAGTGAGTTTCATTAAAGTTGAATACAAGATCAAAGGTATCTCCAGACATCATAACATTTCCATGGAGACAAAAGAGTAATGACACACCTTATTTTGTTTGTGGCTGGTCTTGTACTTCATTCTTAAATAGGTCACATGTAACATATTTAACAAGATTGTAAAGATTTTCTGAACATTTTAAGTTTCTCAGGGAAAGCATCCATTTGCACCTTTCCAATTTTCAGTCAGACATCTGTGGTTCATGCAATTTCACTAAAACTAAGAAGGTAGGTAAACCTTCGCAAATGGATTCTTGTTACCCCTATACTCTCTCTGTGCTTACAATAGTACATGAAGTAAGGAATTTAGTTCTGTTTTGTTCAATAGTGATCA